AGAGAAGGAGAAGGCGGAGAGAGCCGCGGCTGAAGAGGCGGAGAAGGCAGAGAAGGAGGCTGCGGAGAAGGCTGAGGCGGAGGCTGCGGCAGCTGTGGAGATGGAGAAGGCTGAGGCTGCTGCGGCTGCGGCAGCTGCAGAGAAGGATAAGGCTGAGGCTGCTGCGGCTGCGGAGATGATGGAGGCTGCGGAGACCGTGGAGACTGTGGCGGCTGAGGCTAGGGTAGCTGCGGAGATAGTGTTAGCGTTGGTGGAGAAGGCTATGAAAAATGCTCTAGCTAGTAAGTGGAGATTTATTTTTCTTAATGAGCCAAACCATTGGAGATTTATTTTTAATATAATCGATTTTATCGATTTTAGTTGATTTTTGTTAGGTGGAGACGATGTGGATACAGTCCAAACTCCTACGGAGGTGAAAATCCACAAACTACCTAGTCTTCAAGCCCAAGCAGCAAAGAAATTAATTAAGAAGCTGAAGAGAAGTAAGACTCCCAAGCCAAGAAGGAAGTTGCCTTGTTCACGTTTGGTGAATGATTGTTATTATGTAACTTAGGCCTTTGAACTTATGTTATGTCTGTTATGTGGAAACATGTCTTTATGTTTTTCAGGATTTGGACATATATATTTTGTGCATGTCTTTTTTAAGTGTTAAATTAAACGGTACAACTAGCAGAACTAGACCAACTAGAACTGAATTTAAAAAATGTGTGGCAGCAAAGAAACGCGTGGCAGCAAAAAAACGTGAGGCACGAAGTTTAAAATGAAGTTATAAATAGATAAAATATAAAGTCACGTGCGCCAGTTTTTAATAACATAGTTGTACCCAGTTTTGAGTTGTACCCAATTTCAAAACAAAAATTGAATCTAGGTATAATTTCGTAATCAGTAGTACCATACTCTAAATTAAACATTTTTAGTTGTACTTGTGAAATTTAGTAAACAAACTACATTTAACATATTTCTAATGCTATAACTTGTATAAAAATATAAACTTTCATTAATTTCATGTTTGTGTGGTTAAGATTTCCAAAGTAACCTTCAAAGTATAAGGTAGATTGTGTGGACATCACATTTTCATGGATCAAACATTCTCATGGATCAAATTTATATAACTATGAAATGTTCAAATATGCTTGCACATGTTCTATGGCCTATTTTATGTGGAAACATGTTTACAAATACATTCAGAAATTGTGTTATTGACATTTTTGTAGAAAGCATAGTCGTACTGGTTTTCCCAGTTGGACTTGAGTACAACTAAAATGTAGTTGGACTAGTTGTACTCAAAACGAATGGTACTAGTCGCACCAGTCGTACCCCACATTAGACGCGGAATATAGAGTTATACAAGTGGTGCCTAGTCATACCTGATAGAAATAACATGCATGCAAGTCTCAGTCATACAAAGTTGCACACATAGTTCACATAATTTAAAACAAAGACATAAATTACTCTTCACTACCATCAATCCCAAACCATTCAGCCCAGCGACCACCTCTTCCTCTTCTTCCTCTTCCTCTTCCACGATGTTCTCCAACTGATGGGAATCTTTTCTGTTGCGGTTTTCCTTTCTTTACTTCATATTCCAGAGGTAAGACTTCTTGTGCTTGTATCTCTTCAGGTACAACCCATTCAGACATATGAGGAACTGGATAGATTGTCCTGGAGTATGCCAATGCCCATAGCTCTACCAAATAATATTTGGAGCAAAACTCTTGTAGATGAAGTTCCCTATCTCTGCTCATAAGGATGGCAGCAGCAATTGCATGCACACACGGGTATCTGTCTATATCAAAATATTTGCAAGAACAAGTTTTCCTAGTCATATCAACCAAATAATTCTTCCCATCAAGCCCAATCACATTGTATTCATGGAGATAGCTGTTTAACTCTTGCATTATGAGTTTCTTTGCATCGACACATCTTAGATCCATTTCGTTCTCCACCAAAGGCACAAGCTTCTGTGACAGTGGGACTTCAGCGGCAGTCTGCCTATGGGTGTTCCACCATTCAGCCAATTTGGCAACAATTACCTCAATCATTGGCAACAGCGAGTACTTTCTGGCGTTTACAAAAACACCATTAATAGGTTCTACAGTATTGGTGGTACCTATATTGTACCTTTCTCCTGGAAAATAGCATCTTGCCTATTTTTTCTCATCAACACTTTTGTCTAGATACTCGGCAGCAGATGGATATTTCATCCTAAAAGCACTATAGAGTTTTCCGAACTCAACCTCTGTATAAGCTTTAGCGCACTCGATGAACTTCTTCGCACATGCATCTCTGTGGGTAGCAATGTGTCCTTTCACATTCTGAGACAAATGCCTTACACAATACCCATGCTGAGACAAAGGGAACACTTCCCTTATTGACTTGATCAAGCTTGGATTCCTATCCGAAATAAACACCATTCCAGGGACATCTGGTGTTACTGACTTCAACTGATTCAGAAACCATGTCCAACTTGCATCTTTCTCACCATCAACTACACCAAAAGCTATGGGATAATGTTGATGATCAGAATCCTGAGCTGAAGCAACGATTAGAACTCCACCATATACGTTCTTCAGGTGGGTTCTATCTATAATGATGACTTTTCTCATCGATAGAAAACCTTCTATGCAAGCTCCCAATGCAAAGAATAGGTACTTAAACCTTTTCTGCTCATCTAATTCCACACAAGTCCGTGTACCCGGATTCACTTTCTCTAGCATATACAAATAAGAATATAGCCACCGATAACTCTCCTCAGAACTTCCCCGCACCTCATTAACAGCTTTGTTTTTTCCTCTCAGCGCTGTCGAGTACGATACTTTCACGCCAAGCCTGCCTTGAACCATATTGATCAGCGTTTTTGGATCTGGTGTGTCGAATCGACCTGGATAGTTTTCAGCCAAAACAGCCGCAACTAAGTGTGGTGTGCCTTTCCTTTTTTGTCTGATTGTACTTGTAGTAACCCGAGAGCAAGTGTGCACCTTGTTGTAAGTGACAATAGTGAAACTATTTGAGTTCATACGCACAGAAGCTCTTAAACCCCACTTGCATCCCTCTTTTGCTCCCCAACATTTTACCACGAAACGTGTGGGTTCAGACTTCTTCGTTTCATACTCAAAACCATTCTCATGTGCACCTTTCTGCAGGAGAGCTTGCAGTCCCTGCCTAGTGTCAAATTCTTGACCTTTATATATATCTAAACCATTTTCCCATCCATGATTTACTTGCGAGTTTCCATCAGAATTTCTGACTTCTGTATCATCATCATACACGAGCTCATATCTTTGTACAGGATCTGTATCATTTTCTTGCATCTCATTGTCTTCTTGCATTTCATTATCTTGCATTTCATTGTCTTGCATTTCATTGTCTTGCATTTCACTGTCCGGTATTTCTAAACCATCTCTAGCGGTAGAAAACAGCTCATCATTACTCAGACCTACATCAACGTCAACTCCATGATCCTCTCTTGAAACATGCACGCTCCCATGACTTTGATCAACATCCTTGATGAACTCCACATGTAGAACACTTCTACATTGATCTTTACTCATTTGTAGTAGATAACCAAAAACATTTTCGTCATTCCAAATATATGATGGTTTCTTCGTGTTCAAGACCATTGGATAGTAACTAATTTTTAGCTGAGATGTAGCTGCATCTATCAAAACCTTTCTGCAAATTCCCTCCACTAATCCAAGATAAGTGACATCCTCCAAAGATTTCCTCATCACTAAAGTGTGAATCTCATCTTCTACAGAATTCCATATAATTTTATTACCGTCTTTTGAATAGACTCCCCCATAATCAAAATATATGACTGTGCAACCACTGCTACTCATTTCCCCTGAAAAAAACAACACAATCGTAAGGTAATCTTATCATAGTTGTACCAGTTTTACTAGTCGTACTAATTCACTTAAGATGTCCAGTTACGCTAGTTGTACCAGTAGTACCCAGAAAGTTTGGTTCATCCTAGTCGTACTAATTCACTTAATATGTCCAGTTATGCTAGTTGTACCCAGTCGTACCTAGAATGTTTGGTTAATGCTAGTCGTACTAAATTCACTTAATATGTCCAGTTGTGTTAGTTGTACCCAGTAGTACCCATAAAGTTTGGTTCATCATACGAATCAACACTAGTTCTTACGATTCATTGCTCAGTTGACCAAGATATCCTATTTAATTAACAATATCAGTTTCTAATAGCCTTACCCAACTAGCTCAGTAGCTCCAATGAGCAAAAAAAAAAAATCAAAATTTTCTTTACTATGAAATTCTCTAATTGAGAAGAAACTATGTATTAATTGCTCTGCCTATGACATAAACTTGATAATTCAATCAAGAAATCGAAAATAGTATAAGAAACAGCAACAACTAACCTTCAATTTCACGCCTCTGATTTTGTCAATGGTGGAAACATGAGAGGAAGAAGACGACGAGGGAACGACGAGAGGTGCAAAAATTTTGGTGGTTGGTTTGGTTGGTTTAGACAATTAATTTTAGGTTAGTTTGAATTAAATTTTCTACCAAACCACCTGAAATTCTTTTTCTTTTTGTTTTCAATTTTTTTTTAATTCATTAAAAAGTAAATTGTCAAATCATCGCAGAGAGGAACAGTAAGATTAGAGGGAGATAATTAGATTTTTTCGGATGTACGAAAGAGTATTTCAGATTAAAGTCCCTTCCTCATCCTCTTCTTCATATATTTCTTTTCTTCGTCTCTTTCTTCTGTTTCTTCTTCTCTCCCTTCTTCTTCCTCTTCGATCTCTTCTTCTCTTCGTCCTCTTCTTTTGTTTCTTCTTCTGCTCTTCTTCCTTCTTCCTCTTCGATCTCTTCTTCTCTTCTTGCTTCTTTTCTCCTTTTCCCAATTTCCCAAATTTGTTTTTGGTTGATTAGGACCAAATACCCAAACCGAAGCGTATTGATATGTAAAATAAAAAGAATTTCGAAGTTTGTTCCATGGAATTTTACCTTGAACCGATTGAACAGAATTTCGAATTTTATTGGATTGTGCTAAGAAGGAAAATTGGATTGCTAACTTTTGCATCTATATAAAATGAAAAGAAAGATTTGTGATAGAAAAACTAGTTTCTGATCTGGATTTACTGTATCAGATGATTGATATGTGCAAAGAAATTGTACAACTTATTAAAAAATGAACGGAAATTACATGACATGCCATATTTTTTCAAAAACATTGGCCAATCTGTTTATATATATAGTGTTATGTATATTTATAAAATAATACCAATAATGAAATGTAACACTGATAGCAAACCGTAAGAGAATAACAAAAACAACAAACGATTTTATTACGCAAACATCGAAGATTACAGCTCAAACACAGAAACATTACATTCTAGACTTTATTCGGTTCTTAAATTATTCTGCCCCTATACACTTGAGGCAGTTACTTCATTAAGAACTCACCACTGGTTTACCTATGCTCACACACACACACATGTAAGTGTGTATATGCAACCATAAATGGAGGTGAATACATTATAGAGTTTTAGTGACCGGGTTGAGTCTCAACAACTTCTTCGGCAAAAGAACAGCAGCGTATGCAGCGATCGTGTTTGCTGCGGCAGCAGCCGTTGGGGCAACCACCTTTCATTTGATCAGGTTGCAAATGTTCATTCCTCGTTTCAATATTATTATTATTATTATTTTTTTTTTGAGAACGGGCCTTCACAATATTATTATTTTCGGTCAAATTATTTTCGGTCAAATCATTTTGTTCAACGCTCTGTAGGTCAGAGTAATCTTGCTCACTCTCCGATTCCACTGTGCACGTCAAAGACAAAACATTATTCGAAAGGTATTGTTTAGAATGTGCAAATGCCCATTCCTCTTCCAGATTTCAAAATTACTTTTTATTGAAAACATTATATAATGTGTTTATAAATAGGGATCTCTAGTTTATAAAATTTGTAAAAAAACATATATCGTTTGACTGTTTGAGATGATCCAGATAAGTATTACGTATATAATATGGATTCAACATCATACATAACTGTTTTGACTTATGAGGATCCAACATCATATTCAGTACAAGTTCGATTAACATTTGGTTAGTTTAACACATTACAAAAAATCATGTGTGTTAGTATCATTTATTTTATTTGATAATATTATTTTTTATTGATGCAAATTCAGTTGCATTATTTAATTAAATAACTCTAGAATTGGTAATGTTAATCATTTATATCAATATTGTTAATAATGCAACTATTTTCATCACTTATATTAATTGATATTAATATATATCATTTGCAATAGGTGATATTATATTTGACTCAGTTAAAATAAATGATATTAATATTTACATCACTTAGAATAAATAATATTAATATTTACTATAAATTATAATAAATGATATTATATATTTATATTATATATTTTAGCTGATAGTATTATTATGTAAATAATAAATTAGAGATATTAAAATTTATGTTGATTTAAAATTTTGTGTTAATTTTTAAATTTTTATAATTTTTTAGTAGTGTTCATAAATTTGTTTTATAGAGGAAAAAATTAGTACTCTTCATCATTTTTAGCAATGTGCGATAAATAGTTGTTTAGTTGAATTTTTATTTGCAATACATTTATAACTGAAAGAAATATTAGCATCATTTATTATTGATAATAATGCCAGTTGATCAGATGTTTCACTTATATAATTGATGTAAATTTATGTATTTGTGTTAGTTTTTCAAAAGTGATATAATTTAATAATGATTTGTATTAGTTTTGTTTAATTGATATTAATCAAGTTAGTATTAGTATTAATTATTTTTAATTGATACTAATTAAGTTAAAATTAGTATCAATTAAAACGTGATGTAAAATTTTGTATTTAATGTTCAATTTTTAATAAATAATTCTTAATAAAATCAATTATTTTATTACTATTTGATAAATGATGTAATATACATTTTTTTGTAGTAACACTACAAAGATAAAAATAACTTAAGTATATGAAATAATTTTACGTACTCGATGAGTGCCTTGCTGCGGCCACATTTGAGAAGGCGAATAGAAGTGCAAAGAGACCCAACAGAATCAAAACCTTGGAAGCCATTTTATTCAACTTTATAGGACTCTCTTTTGTTATACGAGAAATGTTACCCTGCATCTCTCTCTATTTATAGAAAACGAGGAGGAAGGAATGCGAAAAGTCAAATAACTAATCTATGGTCCAATAAAAAGAAGGAAATTTTTTTATCAAAAAGCTAACGACATTTATCATAATAAAAACAGAAGGGCAAGGAGATAAGTATCAAAGTATTTATAGGTCAATTTCTTCGGGCCCCTTATCGATGGATTTATTGCAAATAATTTTGATTTTTTTTTAAATTGGATTTTGCTTGGCTATAGTTAATCGGGGGAGTGGGGCTGCGATCAAAAATATCTTACGTTTTAAATATGTAGCTTCCAAGCCAAAATGAAAACAAAAATTATATACGTAATCATCATGACCTAAGCTGATGACATGAGCATTATCAATTAAGGTCATTGAGTGTAGACTTGTAGTTGTTATCCATGCTACTTACGTTTAACTTATAAATGAACTTTTCTTATATAGAATTGTATTACTGAGATACTGTTGATAATAATATTGTTATTATTTAGACAGAAAATCGTCCAATTTTTTTAAAGATTCTTGTTTTTTTTGTCATTTGAAAATTTCTTTCAGATAAAAAGACAATTGGGAGATACAACTGTGGAATGTGGAATATAAGACCATCTCCATCGTCAAATCTCTTAAATAAAGTATCTAAACTATATTATATAAATATAATTAAATAATTTAATTAAATATTAAATTAAATAAAATTTAACTAATTATAAAAAAACATCTGTTTGTTGAGTATTTAATATTATTGAAAACGTATCTCAAATCACTTGATAAAGAGATGTCTCTTATTTTTTTGATGCTTTTTCATTATTTTTTTTTTATAATGTTAAAAGACTCTCACATCCTACCAATAGAACTGCTCTAAGGTTGGCAAAGAACACAACATTTCCGGTAACAAAATCTCAAACAACCGGATACAGAGATTAATACAGAGAAAAATCCAACTAAAACAAATCTAATTTAACTTAAAATCTAACAATGACATTAGCTTCGGTAACTGCAAATTTTCAAAATTTTAAAAAAATCTATAAGCAAGATTCATTGTTGCAGCCCGGCCCACCGAACAATAACATTTTCTTCTTGTAGCCAGGAACCGAAGACTTCATAACCGGCAAGATATAACCTCCAAAAGAGTCTTCATTCTCCCGGATGCGGCAGCAAAATGTTCACAAGCACCCTATTTTCGCCTAAATAGAAGACCCTAAGAAGAAACATCCAGATCTCAACAGATCTGAAAATAAACGAAGCCAAAACACCCATATAAAACCGCACACAGCACTAAACCGGCCGTAAAAAAGGAATGAAGAGCACCCATAGCAAAACTATTAAAGAGAAAAAACTTGCAGAAAAGAGACATAACATCAAGTAGATAATAATCAAATTATCTCTTTAGAAAGAAGTAAAGACTATAAACTTTTAACCACCCACAGATCTAAACAAGGGAAGACAAAGGAGATCGGATCTGAGCAGATGGAATTAAGATCCGACAAGACCTCTTGCAATCCACACTGAACTCAACTCCAAACAAATCTACCAAAGCTTCAACTAGAAGAGACAACCTAAAAAAAACTACAAGGCAAACCCGACTCCGGTGCTAAAAAAGCCACCGGAGTCGATAAACACAAGAGCAGCGGCGAACTTTTTTAGATAGAAGGTAGAGCAAATTTAGGTTAGAGAGAGAGGGGAATCGTGAGATTTTTTATCCTCCGAAAAATATAGGGAATCAAAATAAAACAGACAATACAAAAAATAGATATATAAATAAGCCAGAAAAAAAGAAGGAAAGCATATGATGCACATTAGAGAGAAGCAAACTATGTAAAAGAGAAAAAAGAGAGAAGAGAGGAAGAAGAGACAATTAGCTATGGGTGGACCAGAAGGCAAGCAAAGCTTCCCTATGCTTTTTGCCTAAATTCTTCAAGGCCATAACCTTTGTTCGAACTACAAGATATACTTTTCGGAGAACCACCGTCATAGGTAGCATGAGACCATTGAGGTCGCGGTTATTTTGCTCTCTCTATATCTCATATAACCAAGATTGCCAAACTTGAAGAATAGCTAAGGATATGACAGGATCTGAGGTGACCATGGCGAGCCATGTCAATGTGGGATCCAAGCTTATCAGAACATTTTGAAGGTCAAACCTAAAGAGAATATCCGACCATATTTGAGAAGTGATAGTTTGCATTATTCTATTATATTAGACTTCATTTAGTGCATGTTTTCTCTTAAATTCATTCATTTCATTGTCTAAAATGTGTCATTTGCATCCATGTTAAGCATAGTATGCATTAGGATTAGGAGTGCATATATTTTCTCCTAAATTTATCATTTCATTGTCGAAAGTGTCCTATTTGCATCCATGTTGAGCATAGTATGCATTAAGATTAGAAGTGCATATATTGTTGCATTTAAACTCTATTTCAAGTCATTAAGGGGTTAAAGTAGCACTAGAAGAAAGAAGAGTCGAAATAGAGAATAAGAGACGAGCCAAAAGCAAGCTAAGCAGAACATGGGGAACCACGTCGAGAAGCTACACCGTGGAGAGCGATCCCTGTTCTGCTCGGTGCAGCCACACTAAGAAAAGCTAGTCCGTATGCCAAGGAACCTGCGCCAAGGCGATTGCACCGTGGAAGGCAGACCATACACCGATGAACCTCCATGATGGCGATTACACCGACGAGGGACTGCCGTACGCCGAGGGACTTGCACCGTGACGATCACACCAACGAGGGACCACCGTACGCCGGGGGACTTGCACGGTATAAGACGATATAGAACATACCGACGAGGGACACCGACCAAGTCCACTCCACAGTCTGCCCATTGCATCCTAAGCCGGGGCGCCAATCAAAAAATACGCCGAGCCAAAGTATCCTGAGCAGAATTTCAGAACACACCGAGCACATGCATTGACCTGGTCCGTTTCTGCCCTGCATAGTGTGGCCTATCCGAAGGTTGACTATTTGGTTGACTATGTTTTATTTTGGTTGACTAAGCTATGTTTGACTCTTTCCTATAAATAAGCTGAGCCTAAAAACATCTATCTGATCCAAATTTTCTTTTTTTAAGCATTAAATCTCTCTCTATCCAAGTTTTGGGGCAGAGAATAGAGAATAAACTCCATGTTATTTACTATGCTAGCATGATATTGGATGATACACAAATTAAGTATGCAACAACTGAAAAGGAGCTCCTAGCTGTTGTGTTTGCCTTTGAGAAGTTCAGAAGCTACCAGGTGGGTTCCAAGGTAATAGTGTACACAGATCATGCTGCCCTAAGGTATATCTATGCTAAGAAGGATACCAAACCATGCCTGTTGAGATGGATCCTACTACTCTAAGAGTTTGACATGGAGATAGTGGACAAGAAGGGTATAGAGAATGGCATTGCTGACCACTTGTCAAGGATGCGAATTGAAGATCTTGTTCATATTGATGATTCTCTACCTGAAGAGCAGCTCATGATGGTTAAAACCTCAGATATAACCTATGAAGTGGGCAGAAGCTTGAGGAAGCAAAGAGCCTACAAAAAAAAGGATTTGCCTTGGTATGCAGATTTTGTTAACTACTTGGTGAGTGGAGATGTGCCAATCAACTTGGATCCTTACAACAAGAAGAAGTTCTTCCGTCTCTCACTACTATTGGGATGAGGTTTACCTCTTCAAGAGAGGTTCAGATGGTCTCTTTAGGAGGTGTATAGAATATGAATAAGTGAAGGATATTCTCTACCATTGCCATGGATCAGCGTCTGGTGACCATTTTGCTACATTTAAGATAGCAACTAAAGTTCTTTATGCTGGGTTTTGGTAGCCGAGTTTGTTCAAAGATACTCATGCCTACATCTCATCATGTGAAGCTTCTCAAAGAAAAGGGAACATAAGTAGAAGGGACGAAATGCCACAAAACCCTATTCTAGAGGTTGATTTTTTTTATGTTTGGGGTATTGATTTCATGGAACCTTTTCCTTCTTCATATGGGAATAAGTAAGTATATCTTAGTAGCTGTTGACTATGTCTCCAAGTGCGTTGAGGCAGTAGCTAGTCCAACCAATGATGCTAAGGTGGTGATAAAACTCGTCAAGACCATCACATATCCTAGATTTGGAGTCCTAAGGGTTAAGTGATGAAGGCAGCCATTTTATCAACAAAGTGTTTAAAGGATTACTCAAAGAAGCATGGAGTGAAGCATAAGGTTGTCACGCCTTATCATTCTCAAACAAGTGGACAAGTGGATGTATCAGACAGAGAAATCAAAGCTATCTTGGAAAAGGCAGTTGGTGTTACAAGAAAGGATTGGGAAGCCAAGCTTCATGATGCACTTTGGACCTATATGACAGTTTTCAGGACACCAATTGGTAGATTCATCTTTGCATATAAGGCATAGAAAATCATAAAAATTTGAATTTTTTTTGAAAATGTGTTTTACAAAAAGAAGTCATATAAGTTGCATCTGCATATATAAGATTGAGTATGAATGCATTTAATTTAGTATTGCATACATTTGCATAGGAGTAATGATATTTGCCTTGTATGATGTTGAATTTCGAAATTGTGTTCACCACCCTCGTTGCTAGTTGTTTGATGCATATGGTCTAGTTGAAGCTTGCATAATCTGATTTCAACCCTTAGTCTATTTGAACCATAATCTTGACATGTTAATTATCATGTTTTATGCATTGAAAAGTGTTTTCATGGGTATAATATACATATTTGGGCTTTCTTATCCTTTCCACCACTCTTGCTAGTCCAAATAGATTTCATCTCCTTTAACCTTAGCCTCCTTTCAAGCCAATGAATCTTTAGTGAGAGATTGTGAGGTCTTTTTCTATGAATAAGCTTAGTAAAAAGTGTTGAGTTTAGAACTACAAAGGAACTCTTCCATGTAAAACTAGCTCTTCCTCTTTGAGCTAAATTAGGATAGGCTGTTGGGGTTCAAGGGAAGTTTTTTTGTGTTTGGGTTTTCAAGGGAAAAGAAAGGTCACAAGGAAACAAGGAT